CAAAATGAATTTTGTGTTGTGCACCAGTATTGAGTTCATGTGGATTGTTTGGATGTGCCACCCAAGTTATTAATAAATATTTTTAAACCTCTACCTTTTCCCTCTGCTGCCATGTCAGCTCCCCTGGTGCCTGCTGCCCCCCGACTCCTCACCCTCCTCTGCTGTCCTGACTCTTGCTCTTCTCACTGTCCTCAGCCCTCCTGCAACCTGCCCCCCTCCACCAGCCCTTCTCTCCTCCCTGTGCCCACTTCTCTAGTAGCCCCACTCTGATCATGTGAGCTACCCCTCCTCATCCCCTCTTCTAACGCCTCCCTCTACAAACCTGCCCTGCGTCTCTCCTCTGATGGTGGTCCCTCTACTGGGCAGGTGTCTTCCCAGAATCCCCTGGCACCTGCACCTTCTCTTACCCCTGCACTCTCCTGGTGCCTCCCCCTTCCCTCACTTCCCCTGCCCTCTTTGCTCCATTTTTCCCTGATGCCCACCCCTCACCACCCTCTGCCCCCATTCCCCTCATGCCCCTCTGCCCTCTCACATGACTTGTTCCAACCCAGCCTTCCTCATGCCCACCCCTCCTTTCAAACCTTCTTCCAGCACCTCCCCATACTCCTCCCAGCATCACCCTGTCCCCCTCCCACTGATACCTCCCCTCCTGCCCTTTTCCTCATTGTCTGTGCTTGGCCCCCTGCCATTTGTCTCTCCTCCCCCCCCACTGGAGGTTGCCGGGCGCCAGGGGGTGTGGCCGTTCCCCCGCCGGGCGCCAGAGGGCGGGGACACTTGCGCACCCGGGGCCGGCGCCCCCCCCAAGCACCAAGTGCCCAGGGCCGCGCCCCCCCCCAAGTGCCACATGCCCGGGGCCGGCGCCCCCCCCCAGAGCGCGGGCAGCCAATCTGCGGCACTCCCAGGGCCAGCACTCACCTTCCTGGAAGGTCGCGCATGGCAGGGACAGGTCTGGGGGAGAGACGCTCTGGGGCCGGGCTGGGAGAACACGCACGCGGAATCAGGACTAGCTCCATGCTGGCTAGCCGGCTCTCTCTTTTTCAGAGGGGGCGGGGGAGCGCCGGCTCCTCGCGGAACCCCTCGTTTTGCTCCGCGGAACCCTGGGGTCCCGCGGAGCACCAATTGGGAAACACTGAGCTACAGAATGGGGGTCTGGTGGAAAAGTTTCACAGGCCTGTACACAGGAATTTGTGTGTGTGTGTGTGTGTTTTTTTAATAAATGGGGACAGCAGGGATGCAAATGCAGCCCCCCCATCATCTCCCAAGTAAGCGTGCTCCAGCTAACCAGGGGAAGGCAGGAGGGACATACTGCCTGAGCCTCCTTCCCCCTCTCACTCCCAACCCCACCCCTGGCCTTGCTCCTGGGGTGAGGTGGGGTAGAAACCAGCCCCAGCCTTCCTCTGGCCAGAGCATGCTTACTGGAGGGACCATAGGGCCCTACGTTTGCACACTCCCCCTCCCCCACCCGTGTACAGGGCTTTGTTGACCTCCCCCAGTGGGGATTTTGTAGAAATTCGACCTAAGATACATCGACTCCAGCTATGCTATTCACATAACTGGAGTTGCACATCTTAGGTTAACTTTCTCTGATAGCGCAGACCAGGCCTCAGTATCAAGACCACAGCTGCAGCTGTACCTATTCCCTGACCCATCACTGTGGTGTAGCAATGCAAGGCCAGATGTTTCAGAAGCTGTTAA